CCTGCCACCACATCCAGAAAATTTTTTTGTATTTTTAGTAGAGACAAGGTTTCATTATGTTGGCCAGGCTGGTCTTAAACCTGTGACCTCATGATCTGCCCACCTTGGCCTCCCAAAGTGCCGGAATTACAGGTGTTAGCCACCGCACCCAGCCAGGATTCCCTATTTAATAAATGGTGTTGGGAAAACTGGCTAGCCATATGCATGAAACTGAAGCTGGACCCCTTCATTATACCTCATACAAAAATTAACTGAAGATGGATTAAAGACTTAAATGCATGACTTAAAATCATAAAAACCATAGAAGAAAACCTAAGCAAATCCATTCAGGTCATAGGCATGGGCAAAGACTTCATGACTAAAACACCAAAAGCCATTACAACAAAAGCCAAGATTGACAAATGGGATCTCATTAAACTAAAGAGCTTCTGCACAGCAAAAGAAACTATCATCAGAGTGAACAGGCAACCTACAGAATGGGAGAAAATTTTGTAACATATCCATCTGACAAAGATCTAATATCCAGAATCTACAAGGAACTTAAATAAACTCACAAGAAAAAAACAACCCCATCAAAAAGTGGATGAAGGATATGAACAGACACTTCTCAAAAGAAGAAATTTATGTAGCCATCAAATACATGAAAAAAAGCTCATCATCACTGGTCATCAGAGAAATACAAATCAAAACCACAATGTGATACTATCTCACACCAGTTAGAGAGGCAATCATTAAAATGTCAGGAAACAACAGATACCAGTGAGGATGCAAAGAAATAGGAACGCTTTTACACTGTTGGTGGGGAGTGTAAATTAGTTCAACCATTGTGCAAGACAGTGTGGTGATTCCTCAAGGATATAGAACCAGAAATACAATTTGACCCAGCAATCCCATTACTGAGTGTATACCCAAAGGATTATAAATTGAGTACATACCCAAAGGATTATAAATTCTCCTATGAAGACACGTGCACACGTATGTTTATTGAGGCACTATTTATAATAGCAAAGACTTGGAACCAACCCAAATGTCCATCAATTATAGACTGGATAAAGAAAATGTGGCATATATGCACCATGGAGTACTATGCAGCCATAAAAAAGGGATGAGTTCATGTCCTTTGCAGGGACATGGATGAAGCTGGTAACCATCATTCTCAGCAAACTAACACAGGAACAGAAAACCAAACACCACATGTTCTTGCTCATAAGCGGGAGTTGAACAATGAGAACACATAGACACAGGGAGGGGAACATCACACACTGGGGCCTGTTTGGGGGTAGGGGCATGGAGAGGGATAACATTAGGTCAAATATCTAATGCAGGCAGGGGTTAAAACCTAGATGACAGGTTGATGGGTACAGCAAACCACCATGGCACAAGTATACCTATGTAACAAACATGCATGTTTTGCATATGTATCTCAGAACGTAATGTATAATTTAAAAAAATTAAAAATAAAAAAAGAATCGAAAAACACATTTGGAATCTGGATTTTGCCCAGATTGTCTTAATTTCAGTCAAACATTATTTCAGTAGTTTTCTATTCTCAAACACACATCTGATCATTTCTTTCCTTTGTCTCAAACCCTAAATGTATTCCCCTGTTCTTAGAATCACTTCCAATTTCTTAATTGGATCTTTTTTTAAATCTGGCTCTTAGATACCCATAAACATGATCTCTCATCCCCCTCTTCCCTCAAATTCTATGTCCTTCCTCACTTACAGATATCTGTCTGGGCAGTTTCATCCTGCTTGTCTCAACTTTAAGGAAACGTCTTTGAAGACTGATGTGTATGCTCTCCCATGTCTCACAAGAGACAGCAGGCATTCGATGAAGATTTATTCATAAATTAAATGAGTGTTTTGTGAATGCCACTGCTGAGATTTCTATTTAACTAGGAACTCTATCACTAGATATAATTAATTAATGCACATATACATATTTAAAAGAATATAATGGCAACAAGGCTATGCTTTTAGCTATGTAAATTATTTAAGTACGGTTAACATTATTCTTTGACATAATAATAATAATACCCTTCTCTAACAGTGAAAAGGCTACATTTTAATAAGGATGAGAATGACAAAGAACAAGCTGAGCTGTATAGTAATGAATTTGGGAGGAAATCACTCAGCAACAGTAAGGGAACTGAAGAATGTATCACCTTCTTATACCCTGCTAATGTAAATGTAAGCATAGGGAGCAGAATGCTATTTAATATGTCTTGTGCTCTGGCAAGTCAAGGGTAATCTTTTACTCTGGGAACTTCCAAGCACAGGTGGTAAGTAATGAGAATTAGCTTGACATTTTCAGACATCCCTCTACATCCACACATTTAGCATACCAGTGTAATCTAAAATCATGCGGACTCTCATTCCCTGAAATAAGAGATGCAGCAATTCTTTCCTTCATTGATGTATTAACAATACACTATCTGCTTTATATGGAGCTCACTTAATGACCCAGAATAGAGTCCACCCCTTTCCTGGAATCTCTTCTTTATTACAAGACCTTTGGTTTGCTTCTGTAGTAACTTCAAGGTTGGAAGTTACAAGAAGAAGTGCAGAAGGACAAAGCATATTCAGCTAAAGGGTAAACTCTCCTGAATCCAAACATTTAAAAACTGTTGAACATCTAGTCTTAGAGATATTTTTCACATTCATATTACTTAGCAAAAATAGACAGAAAATAACTAGATATTATTTATTTTAATAAAACATTGGACAAAGCATGTTTTGATTTGTATGTAACAATAATCTTTTTTGTCATATTTAAAAATAACTTCCAGGCTCATTTGATGAAGGGGTGCAAGTTTCTTGCAGTAAGCCCAGTTCAGTGGTTTGTCCAGGAATCTCCATTTTTGCTTGTCCTCCTCTTCATGTCTGACATAACTATTAATAGTTCCTACTTTCATTCTCCAAGTATCATAATCTGTGATGGATACTATAATCTCCTTGATTAATGTGTAGATTCCTTTTAGCCTTTCCCAATTCTCAGATTGCCTTGAAGTTAAATGCTTCCAATGATAGAATCAGAAAATAGAACAGTGACTACTATTCCTGAAGGCCTCTGGTGTTTTCCAGAGTATCAAGCTTGGACTGATTAAATTCTCATTTCCTATTAAACTGTTTTCCCTGGATGGCATCATAATCATTCATTTAGACTCTCCTGACTACTCACTCATTCCCAGAACACCCAGCAGAAGTAGACAGTAATGTCAGATAGGACATTGGTGTCATGATTTTCTCCTTTATTATACAGAGTCAACAGGACACTGGCATAGGTTAGTATTATGCTAGCCTTAAAATAAACTCAGAATAGATTCACATACTCAGAAATATATTCATGTGAATTTTATTTTTCTCATTAGCTAATGTAAGATTCTTGCAGATTCATGTAACAGAGTTTGGTGACAATTCTGGCAATAACATTTTCTTTTTAAAATCAGACTTTGGCTTTTCTAGTTAGTGTAATTTGCTTCTAAATTTATTTATAAAATTAACTTATTACTCATTTAACAGATTATTTAATAATTCAATTAATTTATCAAATTAATTTAATACTCAGGAGCCTATCTTGATTTGATGAACATTTTAATAAAAAAATTAGTAATAGGAATAGTTTATGGCAGTCTCATTTGAGAGTTTTCAAGAGTCATTGGCATTTAAAATTCCTTATTCACAAAGTATTCTTTTGTCGTGATGCAAAGGCAATACATTAGATGGCCAAATCTGACCAGCAAATGTGTGCTGTTTAATTTTACCATATTAAAATAAAAATAACTATTAACCATCTTTAAGTAATGTGAGATTTTGCAGGACAATGCCAACTGCTGGGTCATGAAGATTCACAAGGTGAATGAACACAAGGCTGAATCCTACCTGGATCCCACCATTAGACGTTCATCTTTCCCAAATCAAGCACCCGCAGTGCCTCCTACAGTCCATCTTTCCTACACGTTTGTACCACTGTTTTATTTTGTTGGCATTTGCTTTAGAAAATCCCACACAAGACTTAATTTCTAGATAAAATATGTATGTTCTGGTAAAGAATTATTCATGAATTCTTAAAATTAGTGAGAAGGAACAAATCAATTTATACCGAAGCCATACTTTGATGAAGGAGGAAGTGGAATGGATCTAAGGAACTGAGATCCTCAATGAGAGGGAAGAAAAAGTCTTCCATGGGGACAACGGTCCCAAATCACAAACTGTAGTAGTGCCTAGAAGGAGATTACCAGTTGAATGGGGGTCAGTTGACCTTTAAGATCACTTCCAAATAAAAATAATGATAATAATGTGCAATGCTTTGGCTTTGTCATTTGTCATTCTATCATAATCAAAATTGGATTTTTTTAGGTATGACTGGCTGAGTAGGCACCCTCTCTCATTCAATGTGCATCACTCCCAGAGATATATACTTTGGGAAAAGAGCACCTCATAGTGTATAATCCTTATTAAGTCAAGTGTTTATAAAAATCCTACTCCCTGGCTAGACTCTAAACTTTAAATTTTCACCATTCAATAATTTTAACATGTCAGCTATACATATATATATATATATATATATATTTTTAAAAAAACAACATGTTTTCCTTCTTTTTGTCTTGCAGAAGTTGATGCAGGTAAAGTATAAAGAAACATGTTTTTTTTTTTTTTTTTAAATTGCTTTTTGGGGAAGGAAATGTCCCTTCAATTATAAAGTCATATCTTTAAAAAACAGGAAAATGATTGATAGATAGATACATATATAGATAGACTTATAAAGAAATATTTACTTTCACATAGTTATAGTTTGTGGTACTACATTTGTTTTATTAAAAATTCAAACTTTTTTTCAGATTGAAGTATAATTTATCTTCCATTAACAAAAACGAGGATCTTAAATCTGACATATGATTACAATTAAAATGCTGAAAGGAGTTATGAGGCATTTAAATCATCCTTGAATTAGAATGCTTGCAGCATATTTCTCAGAGTTGACTTTAACACATTACCTTTGTTGCAGCATCAAAGCAGATAAATCCTGTGCTGAAGTCAATTGTGAGTCCCATTAGATGACTTTCTAGCACACATGCATAGGTCTTGCACTAGGTAGAACAGAAAGTATTGTTACTTTTCATGTTATTGATGCAATATTAATATTAAGAACTATGTGACAGCTTCTGCAGTAAGTACTTCATACAATATCTAATTTAATATTAACAATAATTGGATAAAGAAGGGAGGATTATCAACATTTTAATGTTAACGAAACAGAAGCTGAGAGTGTTGGGTTTTATTTTTAACTTGCCAAGGTGTATGCCTGGCCAAGTTTCCAATCCTGCTTCCTCTAGTTTTGTCTTTACGTTGTGCTACACTGTTGGTTTTTGCTGTATTGACAATAAAGGTGGTATATAAAAAGTTTTAGGTGTAGGCAAGTTTATGTTAAGTCGTTATTTACTGTAGCCAACCATTTTCATTAAACAGAAAGATAACTATTGTTAAATAGCACTGTCTTGAATTCTCAGGATATCAATTTTATGGATATTATTAAACCACATTCTCATGCACACAAATACAAATTTAGTAACCAAGCCAAAAGAGTAGATCTTGATCTTAAGAGTCTTTCTCTGTTCTTCAATGTTGCACAAGATATTCCTACAGATATGTACCACTTTCCAATTTATTTATTTAGAACTACAGGCAATTTTTAAAAATCAACAAGTAATTACTTTCACAGTGAGGTCAGATAATATTATAATTTTTCTTTTTTCTTTTTTTCTTTTGAAACAGAGTCTTGCTCTGTCACCCAGGCTAGAGTATAGTGGCACAATGTCAGCTCACTCTAATCTCTGCCTCTTGGGTTCAAGCAATTCTCTTGCTTCAGCTTCCAAGTAGCTGGGACTAGAGTCATCTGCCACTGTGCCTGGCAAATTTTTGTATTTTTAGTAGAGGTGGGGTTTCACCATCTTGGCCAGGCTGGTCTCAAACACTTGACCTCATGATCCACCCACCTCAGCCTCCCAAAGTGCTGGGATTACAGGCGTAAGCCCCTGTGCCCAGCCTAATTTTTCATATTAAATATGGATACCGAAATATAAAGAAAACAGGATATAAATCAAATATGAAATAAAAACTTGAGGTTTATATATGCCACGATGTATTGTTACATCTATAAGCCAGTTTTATTTGCATTTAATTTTAAATCATGGTGGAATATTCCAATCATGAAAAATATTTGTGATTCATGTACAAGACGAGAGAGAAGTAGAGAGAGAGACAAAGAGAGAAGATAAAAAGGAAGAGAAGTTTATCTGAAGTAAATTTTTAATACCTATCCTTACCTTGTATTTTTTCACAATATCGTATGTAAAACTGCACTAATTGAATCCTATTCTGAATGTAATCATAACTAAATACATCAAGTTGCCTTCACCAAAAATTACATTCTTGTGTTTAAGCCTTATTAGCATAGAAAAATTATAATGATGCAAAATTATTATTGGAGTTACTTTTTTAAAAAAAAAGCAGACTAAAGAACATACTTAATGGGCCTCAAAAGTCCATTTTGGGGAGTAATTATATTTGTTTAATACATGAGCATTGTGCCTGCTTACATCCACCCATTAGCACTTTATTAAAACTATTATCAACATTAAGGAATGTTTAAGGCTATAAAATTTTCTCCTAATTTAAACATAATGGTTTGCTAATTTCAAGGATTGTCATTTAAACAAGAAAATGTCAGGTGAAAATAAATTCGGTGCAGCATATTAAAATTTTTCTATTAAGTTCAGCACTACAAATTAAATTAGATTTTTCTCAATAATCATTATATTGAAACAAATAGATGCGCTATAAATTGAGACTCATTGAAGTCTCAATTTATATATAGCCTCAAGTTCTATCATTTATAATATTAATAGCATATCATGAGTATAGTTAACATGTGTTTAATATTGAAATATTAATTTGTTGTTTAATTTGTTTCCTTAAAAACAAATTATACAGAGAAAAATCAATAAATAAATTATCCTTTTTAAGGAAGTTTAAATGAGAAACACTTCGAAAGTCAATTCATTACTTTTTTTTCTGCTTGTTTTACAACAGAACTTATGTTCCTTCTTTATTTAATTCCCTACCAACTTTAATGGAAGTGATAAATTAAGAATATAGAAGAAAAACATGTAAGGTTCTTCACGTAAATATATTCACATCTTGAATTTTGAAAGTAACACTACAAAGGTATTCAGCCATTGATTTCTCATATAGTAAACAAAAAAAGTTATAAAATCTGTAGAAAAACTAAAAGCTAAGAAGACATTAAATATTTTACCTTTCACTTCTGACATGTATCTTACACTGGCATTGTGAATGGGCAAGGAGATAGTCCAGTGTATTTCAGTGAATATCAGTTTACAGAACACAATGCCCAGATTGAAAGATTTTATCTCTATCTAATTTATAAATATCAGGAGACTTAAAATAAAATACTAAATTGGAACCAAAATGTTAAAATTACCATGTAGTTGTTTCCAAGCAAAGTGGACTGTTGTAGAGAAATAATAATTTTGAAAACTAAATTTGAATAACAAAACTGTCAACTTGCATTCCATTAAATTATATTTTAATGCTTTAAATGGTCTTGGACCTTGACTTGGAATAAAAATCATATTTAATATATTTTTGTTTCCATTTTTGATATAATATATATTTTTTTGAATTGTTCTATGAACTAATTGTGGAAACTATTTTTTTAGCTATTTAAGACTTTTTAGATGCATGAAGATAAAAGCAGAGTTATTGAAAAGAGTCAGCTGAACAATTAAAAAAACTATAATTGGAGTTTTCTTTCTGTCCTCTTCCTCTGATTGTAATGACATACTGGTACAACTTGATGTGTTGACTACAGAGGTTTGTGGTCAGAAAATAGAAATCAGTTCAACATGTTCAAAATATATGTATCCAACAATCCTGTTTTAAGCAAACTTTCCAGAATAGTCAGTGCTAGATTATTCACCATATTTGTTTTCATAATTAAGTGTCCATGTGTGTATTTTAGGTCCTTGCTCTATGGATCCATTTGCATGTGGCAAGCGCATGATAACCTTTCAGTTTGTCCACGGGTCTGTTTGAGGTCAGCCACAGAACCAACTTTGAGAGGCTGTTTCGTTCAATGTTCTTGTGAAGATAGAGGCTGAGGGCTCTATAAAGTTTGATCTAGTGTATAACTTCACAGTTAAGAAACAAAGTTCAATAAATATCTGTTGACTAGTCATGATGTGCAAAATGCACTGGACCATGGTTGGCACATGAATAAGGTAATTCCAAACAATCTATAATTTAGTGCAGGGAATAACAAGCACATGTCACTGCAATACAAAACAGACTGAGTGTGAGCAACCCTTAAAGAAAAGACAAATAAATGGAAGAATCTTATAGATGCTGCTATAAATAAGTAGAAAATATGGTATAAATTTTATCACTAAACTATGCTATTTTAAAATCTATTTCCTATAATTGTATTTCTAATCAGATGTATCAGTTTTATGATTTTTGTTCTTGTATGTGTTAATGATTTTAAGTAAAAATGTAATTGCTTTTCACGAATAGTATGAATGAAATTGATTAGTTTGCATTTTCTTTTCTGTAAAAAAAAAAAAAAAAAACAGACAAGTATGTTATATCGTGTTCAAAAGTGAGAAGAGTTGTTTGAACAGGATAATTGTAGGAGGAGTATTGGCAAGCATTAGGCATGGTGGGCTGGAAATCAGAAACATGTTCCTGGATGATATGACCTTTGATAAAAAGTTTCAAAACCTCTATAAGGCTTTGAAGGACGGAGGCAAAGGGAAGGTTTTCTAGAAGAAAGAGCATTGTGAGTAAATGATGCCAACAGATTGGAAATTAGGAGGTCATATTTGGAGAACAGGAAGTGACCTTGTCAACAATTAATTAAATTAGAGTATTTTCTATGTTAGATTTAAGTCAGAGTCATGTCTAATTAAAATTAGAAATATATTTTTGATTAGTAGTAGGAAATAGCCTGGAAAGATCAAGTTGTGGAAAAATTAAAATTTTATTCAGAGCTGTATTACTAGTCACTAAATAAAAATGACTAATTATGGAATGTATTTGAGGTCAAGACTCCTGGAACTGTATTTTTACACTACTTTGGAATGATATTAGAATTCTGGGGAAGTGGACATGCATGTCAGCGAGCCACACATCCTGCGGACCCACAGACTCTCACCTGTATCCGTTCTACTTCTAGAAAGGTTGCTGTCTGGAACGCTCTTTCCCACTGGGCGAGGTCACTTTCCAGTTCTACTGAGAAGTACAGGTCCTCCCCAGACTCAGACTGCACGGTGAAGCAGTGTTTCCGTCGGTCCAGCAGGTCACTGTCCTGGTGAAAACCTGGAGTTACACAGGCTGGCACACATCACTTCACATTGCTAACCTGGCCATTCCTGACTGCAGCAAGGTGTGGAAGCCACAGGTAAAAAGATAACACTCTACGAATTCACCATGTCTTCATTACAAAGTATTCCAGAACTCCGGGCTTCAAAGTCAATAACTAACACATGACTTCTCTGTCTTTACACTGAAGCATGTCTGTAAAATAGAAGTTAGGGTTTCTGGCTTCAACTCTTACTAACAATATAACCACCAAAGCATTTAACATACAAGACTTGGTTTATTACTGTTCAAAGGGGTGACATACTAACTCTTCCCTTCCTTACATAAATGTTATGATGTTGAAATTAAATAATGCTTGTGAACATGTTTGTAAATTTTAAGGAACTTTATAAGCAAACTGAAATATTCTTCTCCATGAGAAATGAAAAAGAAAATGAGTCTAATTTGTCTACAGCACTAATATTACTTTAAAAAAACACATTATTTACCTTACTTGTGTAACTGTATTTCATTGTATCAAAAAGATGACTTTGATGCTAACAATTTCTTGGTCTTACAAGGAATTTTCAACTAAAGTGTTCACAAATTTACATGTATTCCAATGTAAGAGATTTTAACATAAGAAAAAAAAGTGAAGCAAATAATTTTTGAAATAGAGTAACTCAATGCAACATGTTAGATACAGCATTTTAAATACAGTCATGTGCCGCATAAGGACGATTCGGTTAATGATAAACTGTATATTCAACAGTGATCCTATAAGGTTATAATGGAGCTGAAAAATTCCTATTCCCTAGCAATGTCATAGCCGTTGTAGTGTCATAGTGCAGTGCATTACTCATGTGTTTGTGGTCATGCTGGTGTAAACAAACCTGCCGTGCTGACAGCTATATAAGTCTGGCACATATGATTATGATATATGCTACATAATAATCATGATAAGAAAGACTATGCTACTGGTTTATGTATTTACTGTATTATAGTTTTATTGAATTTTTTAGTATACTCCTTCTATTTATTAAAAAAAAATAGTTAACTATAAAACAGGCTCAGGCAGTTCCTTCAGAAGGTATACAGATGGCAGCATCATTACCATCAGAGATGACAGCTGCATGCGTGTTATTGCCCCTGAAGATCTTACAGTGGGACAAGATGTGATGGTGGAAGACAGTGATATTGGACATCCTGACTCTGTGTAGAACAAGGCTCATGTGTGTTTTTCTGTCTTATTTTTTAAAAATAATTTTAAAAAGTCAAAAATAAAAAATACATTTTTAAATTTAAAAGTAGAAAAAAAGTAGAGAATAAGGATATAGAATAATTTTGTACAGCTGCATAATATGTTTGTGTCTTAAGCTAAGCACTTTTACAAAAAAAGTCCAAAGTTGAAAAAATTAAGTTTGTAAAGTAAAAAATATTACAGTAAGCTAAGGTTAATTTATTATTGGAGAAAAAAATTATTTTTTATAAATGTAGTATAGCCTAAGTGTTCAGTGTTTATAAAGTCTATAGTGCTGTATAGTAACAGCCTAGGCCTTCACATTCACTCACCACTCACTCACTGACTCACCCACAGCAACTTCCATCCTGCAAGCTCCATTCATGGTAAGTGTCTTGTACCTGTGTATCATGTTTTAAAAATCTTTTAGACTGTACTTTTACTTTACATTTTCTATGTGTAGATGTGTTTAAACAACTACTTACCATTGTGTTACTTTTGCCTACAGTATTCAGTATAATCATATGCTATACAGCTATGCAACCTAGGAGCAATGGGCTGTACTGTATAACCTAGCTATGCAGTAGGTTATGATGTCTCAGGTTGTGTAAGCAAATTCTGTGGTGTTCACACAACAGTGGAACCATCTAACTGAAAGGCATTTCCTAAAATATATCTCGATCATTAAATGACTCATGACTCTATATATGCTGTATATATGCAGTGTACTGAAAACTGTCAAAGGGTTAATCACTGGTATCTGTAATCATTTCTCCTAAGGAGGGATGTAAGTGTATCATTATTAAACACCCAAAATACTAGATGGAATTCTCTGCTTTGGCAAGTGTTTAAAAAATAATAGCTATTTTCTTTGTTTCCCATTTGCATGCAGTCTTACAATCTCTGGAAGAGAGCTAATGGAAGGCAGTTACTTTCAGGGTTGTAGAATTTAGCTCCGACCCTTGTTGCCAGTAGGTGCTCAGAAAGCTAAAATGATGATAAATGCTGTGCTTATTGATTTTCCTACTCTGTCTGAAAGGAGAAAAAAATGAAAACATAATATTTTTGTGAGTACAATCCAATGATAAATTATAAATACTTTTTAGCAGTTTTGGGGTTATAATGTCTATGGAGGCAACAAAGAGAGATAATAACCACACAAGTAAATATGTTAGTACAAATTATTGTAAGTGCCATTATAAAAAAAAATAAGAGGCCGGGGGCGGTGGCTCACACATCTGTAATCCCAGCATTTTGGGAGGCTGAGGCAGGCAGTTAACCTGAGGTCAGGAGTTCCAGATCAGCCTGTCCAATATCGTGAAACCCCATCTCTACTAAAAATACAAAAATTAGCCAGATGTGGTGGCGCATGCCTGTAATTCCAGCTATGCAGGAAGCTGAGGCAGGAGAATCACTTGAACCTGGACAAGGAGGTTACAGTGAGCCAAGACTGTGCCACTGCACTTCAGCGTGGGCAACAAAAGGGAAACTCCATCTCAAAAATGGAAGAAGGAGGAGAAGGAGGAGGAGGAGAAGAAGAAGAAGAAGGAGGAGAAGGAGGAGGAGGAAGAGGAGGAGGAGGATGAACAGAAGAAGCAGCTGCACAGGAAGAGGTAGAGGAAGAAGAATTACATCACAATACATTGAAAAGCCAGAGGAATGTTCTCTAGGAAATAAATTTGTGACTGAAAATGAGTAGAAGATTAAAGATAAAGTATAGAAAAAGGGTGTTCTTTCCAGAGAGTGGATGGGGCTGGTAGGGATCAAGTGAGGTACTTCAGGAATTTAAAAAAAAAAAAAAAAAAAAAAAAAAAAAAAAAAAAAAAGGTGGCAGACACATTGAGAGCTAAAGCTAGGGAAAGACATGGGATGATTGGTCTGCTTATAAATTTTGGACTTGAACACAGTATAATGACAAGCTACTATAGCAAAAATTTTAGTATGCCCTCTCTTTATACTGCAGATATTTCAACATCTACATTAGCTTTTTGAATTGATAAATTGGCACAAAAACTGTAACTCAACATTGCAGTTTCCAGAAACTTTGCCAATTTTATGGTTTATTAAATTGGCCTTAATCTACATTATAATAAAAATGTTATCTAATGTCATTATTAGTCAGAAAAATTTGGTATTTTTTCCTTTTCATAAATCACATGTAGCAATAGGATCTTAAAATGGCCTTCATGTAAGATTTTCTATTCTCTTGGCAAAACTTTACTCCTTTACTCTTTTAAAACTCAATTTAAGATCTTCTGTTGTATTACCCAAGTGGTGACTCTCTCTCAGACAAAGGATCCTCTAATCAACTCTGCAAATACAGTTTCAGCATATCTGAAAACTTCTTGCAATTTCCTATTGTTATTTATAAGATACTTCTCATGAACTGACTCATACCACAAATTGCATCTGAGCACCCAGGTCTCATTTTAGTGAGGGAGAGAAATATGTTAAAATAATGAGCATATGACAGTGCTATAGAGGTAACATGCTAAGGAAGCAGAATAAGGAGCCATAAATCATCTTGAGGTAAAGTAGGAGGGGGAAAGTTGTATTGTAGGGAGAGACTGTAGTACTATCAAGGACTTAAAGACAAATGCAAGAGCAATGTGATGTAAGCCTTTAAAAGACCAGATGATCCTGCTAAGAAATTCACAAAATGCACCTGCCAGGAAAAGATATTGGAGTTTCAAGTGAGAAGGAGGCAGTATAAACTGTAAGTTTTAGATGGCTAAGAGTGGATGAGTGGGAAGAGTAGAAAGTTCAGAAAAAGCAGAAGATCCTTTATCAGAAATTCAGTGAAAAGTGACTATAGCTCAATCATTTTAAAGGTCTACTTTCAAAGTAATCATGTAAAATCATTGACACTAGATTTCTCTTACTAGAGTTTCTACTTTTGCTGCCTATAACATTTCAAAAGATTGTGTTCCTTTATGGTTGCAGTCATTATCAAGTTATATGCAAGCAATTATATATATATATATATATATATATATATATATATATATATCTGAAAAACTAAATAACATACTCTTAGAGGCTGGCATTGACTAGAAGTATTAGTATAATAAGGAGTATTTACACATGATTATTCACATAGGTATAAGTAAGAATGTATATATTCCTCTTTCTCACCCTCATTCTCTCACTCACACCCATGCAGGAGCTGTCAGAAGGTGATAAGAATAAAAGCTCTAGCTTCAAAATTCTGTCTGGATTTGAATCTCCTCTCTTTTATTTATTAGTAGGTAATCTTTGGCAAGTTCATTACCATATAATAGCTTCCTTCACTCATCACTAAAGTGGAAAAAATTAATTGATCTGATGATTAAATAAGATACTATATTTAATTATTTGCTTAGTCTAATACTTGGAAGTACTTAATTCATGTTGGGTATTTCTGTTATCAGTTTTGATTCAACAAAATAAATATAGATAAATATTTGTATCATTTCCTAACTTGCCCTCTATGGTTTGCTGTCTGCATGCATTTCTCTTTTGTCAAAGTGTGACTTATACCCGAGTAGAAACAATAGCCTCCAGAATACTTTTTTGCCAATTGGAAAGTATCATTTAATAATGGTAATGATAATAATAATAGCTAAACACAACAAGAACACATTTTTTGCATTTTTCTAAATTTTCTCACTTCTCCAGAAGTATCTTCTATTTTGTTAGATTTGTTCCAAGTCCCCTGAACACTTTCTATAGACCGATAACCATATGCTGTCCTTCACTGGAGACCTCTCAGATGTATAAAGCAGTAT